GGTGGTGGGGCTAAGAAAGCACCACAGCCGGTCCTCGGGTTCCAGGTGGGTGGGGCGAGTGGGACAAATGAGCCCATCTTTGAGACTTGTCACAGAGGCTGGCGGAGGACTCCGGTCCTGTGGGCGCATCCGGCTGCTGGTGCCGTTGCTGGCTGAGCAGGGCCCGGGCTGGGCCCGGCCGGCTGCTGCATTCCTTCTCGAGGCGGTGTGTTTCTCCCTTTAAGACACGTGTTCTCGTTGTTTTTTTTCCCCCTTTCGGTTAGTTGAACTTGCTCCGAGTCCAAGTGGCAGAGGCAAAGCCTGACTCAGGGCTGGAGCAGCTCCGTCTGTCCGTCCTTCCGTGTCAACAGCTGCCTGCCTCCTCCTCTGCTGGAGCCTGGCAGGCACTGGGGCAGAACAGGGACGGGGTCTGAGGCCTGGGGAGCCTGCAGGACTCCCAGGGAGAGGAGCCTGTCCCCACGTCCTGCCGCAAGGCTCTGACTCCGGGATGCTTGTGTATGACAGGCCCTGGCTTTGCCCCCGGAGGAGTTGAAAAGTCACTTCTGTAGGTGCTTGTCCCTTCTCCGGCAGCACAGACTCCAGTGCTAGACATCTTTCCACATTGTATGTGACCATGGCTTCCTCAGCGCCTGCCTCTTGCGCCCTGTCACGTTTTCATGTACTTACAGCTTTGTTTTGTTTTCACAGGTGGATCTGGCTCTGGCTGACTTCAGGATTTTCACCTCTGGCTTTCAAGTTTTCCCTTTAAAGCCGCTGGGACGGATGAAAGATGTGCCATGGCAGGATCGCACCCAAGAGCACGTCGGCCTCCGCCTCCGCCTCTGCGGGGCCTGCAGTCTTCCTCCCGCTGGTGATCCTTAGCACCCTGCTTGGAGACGGGCTTGCCTCAGGTGAGTCTCTCTCCACCGACTGCCTCTGTGTGCCGGAAGGAAAAGACCTCCTTCCTTCGCAGTGTCTCCCAAAGGCCAGACACTTGCTCCTTGAGGCTTCCAGGGTCTGTGGGCCGTGCAGGGGACGGAGAGGACTTCTGGGCTGTGGCAGGGAGTCAGGATTGACTGGAGGGCAAGGGGACCAAATGAGGGTGGTTATGAAGATTGAGCGGTATAACACAGTCAACAGTAATGATTCCCCCTCCCACAGTTCTGTGGTTTTCTCAGAATGAATGCATAGTTGAGTTATTATAATTTAGGGAAAGCAGGGTCTGGTCCCTAACTGATGGTAGGTAAGTCCCTAACCTCTCTGAGGCTCAGTTTCTCTGTGTAGTGAATGGCTGGCCTAGAAGGCCTGTGTGGGGACTTCTGGCTCCCCCAGGCTCTGAAGTCACTTTTGTAAAGACATTCAGGCAGTGTCTTTTTAAAAAATCGTTTTATTGGGGGCTGTATCAACAGCTTTTCAGGCCTTGTCTTTACTCTCGGCCTTTTTGGGTTTGGGTGGCCCTGCTTCATTAGCAATGTGTCTGTGGAAGCTCTCTGGAGTGTGTTCCCTGGAGAGGGCCTGGCGGGGGGGGGGTGGGGTGGGTGGGGGTGGGTGTGTGTGTGTTATTGTGTTCCCTGGAGAGGGCCTGGGGGGTGTTGGAGGTTACTGTGTAGCTTGTGGAGGCCCTGTGGCTCCATGTTGCCTCTTTGATTCCTTTTCCATCAGCTCCCACCCACCGCTGATCCAGCACAGACAGTAATGTAGTTTCACTTGCTCTTCTGTTTGCTTTGATTTGTTGGGGAAACAGTTTCTGTTTTGTTTCCTGTCAAAGCTTTCTGACCCCTTGACAAACCTTTCCCACAAGTCCAGACCTTCTTGGCCACGAGGAGCTCCTGCTAGGACCCAGGGGACCACTGATGGCTGGGACCTCACCATGTGGGCAGGATGACTGAGGTTCCAGTGTGTGACAAAACCACTCAGTGCTGACAGCCATAGGGACATTGCAGAGGCAGCCAGGAGCTTCCAGAAGGGGTGCCACAGAGCACAGGGACTGTCCCTGACTTAGCTTCACTGCTCCAGAGAGAGGCTGGCAAACTAAAGCCATCTGCTCTTTCCCCCCTTGCCATCTACTTTTCCATGACCTGCAAGTTAGGAGTTTTTTTTTTTACATTAAAAAAAATTTTTTTTTAATCAAAGGGGAGGGTAGAGGGAAGGTGGGGTGGAAAGGGGGAACCAATAACAAAGGATCTACATATAACCCCCTCCTTGGGGGGACGGACAGCAGAAAAGTGGGTGAAGGGAGACCTTGAACAGTGTAAGACATGACAAAATAATAATAATTTATAAATTATCAAGGGCTCATGAGGGAGGGGAAAATGAGCTGATACCAGGGGCTCAAGTAGAAAGCAAATGCTTTGAGAAAGATGATGGCAACAAATGTACAAATGTGCTTGACACAATGGATGGGTGTATGGATTGTGATGAGTTGTATGAGCCCCCAATAAAGTGATTGTTTTTAAAAATCAAAAGGCTATTCTGTGACACATGAAAATTGTATGGCATTCAGATTTCAGTGTCCATCGATAAAGTTATATTAGAACATGGCAATACTCATTCATTTCCGCATTGTCTGTGGCTGCGTTTGTGGTCTCAAGACAGAGAGGAGTAGTTGCTGCAGAGATCATGAGACCACAAAGGGCCTGGTGACACCAGAGACACCAGGGACTTGGGAGGTGTTGTGCGGTCCGGGTCTTTGGGTCAGCTCGGGGTGGAGCCAGGACCAGAGCTCAGCACTGTGTCTGGGGACTACTGCCAACTGCCTCTTGCAGGGCTCCTCGGGAAAGCTAGCCCAGCGTGTGGCACAACGGTGTTGGTGGCAGGGCCTCGCCATGGTGTCTGAAAAAACTGCCTTTTTTAGCTGTGATTCTCCACCCCACCCTCCTGTCTCTTCTTTACATCAGCTCCTCCCATCTCCCCTCACCCCCATTTTCCAACTCTCCACACCTTCTTGACTTTCCGCTCAATGTCTGAAATCAATTATCAGGGACCGATGGTTCCAGACTGGCAGGATAAAGGGATTATTATTCCCCAGTGTGGAAAAAATGTATGTCGGTTTGCAGTGTGGGCTCAGACCAGGATGAGAAAGTTGGCTTTTCTGGTTTCTTTCCCCTCCTCCATCTGTAGGGAAGATGCCCCCCTCCCCCCTCCCAGGCCCTTCTACTCCCCCAAAAACCTGGGGGCTGACAGGGAAAGGGTTTCACCGTCACTTGGACCCAGCCCACCAAGTTGCTGCCAGTGCTGTCTCTCTCTGCAGCCACTCCTGGGAGAGGGCGGGCTGGCTTCTTGGCCTGAAACCCAGAACAGCACACCTGTATGGCCCTGCCTGCCATTAGCAGCATGCCAAGCTCACCTGCCTTGCCAAGAAATTAAGACTCAGATGTGCCGAAGCCAAGGAAAGGCACTTCAGTTCAGAAAAGGGCCCCTCTTCTCCTACCTGCTCCTGGAACACCCATTCGGCAGGTGTTGCCCGATTTTACAGTGAAGCACCACTACTCAGCCCTGCTACCCAGTGAGCGCCAGACCTGACTTTGCTTGTGTGCTCAGGCCCATCCACGACTCTTGAGAATCCTGCCGGACAGAGAGGAATGGGCACCCTCAGGCAGCGAAGGGGGTTCAACCTCCTCATTTCTGATCCTCGATACCACAGCCACTTCTCCTTGCCTTGGCCTGGAGAGCTCAGGCTCAGAGGAAAAGAATCACATATATGAAGGGGGTGGAGGGTTCTGGCATAGTTAGGTCATGTTTGGAGTTTAGCTCTGTGTCCAGGTTTCTCTACAGCTGGGGGAGAAACCAAAGAAGATGCTTTAGAGGGGCACTGGGTCCCGCTCTCCCCGGGTCACTCCTTCAGTAGAGAGGGGGAGAGTTCTTGAAAACCCTCCCCTTGTGGACCTGGGTGGCAAAAGGCGGCATGCTTATTCTGGACACAGTCACGCCCTGTGGCAGGAAGGCCAGCCAGCGCAGGCAGTTAAAAATAACACCCACGCCGGTGCCACACAGCTGGCCTTTCTTCTTGGGCTCCAGTGAGAATGGGGGTCCTGTCTGTTCAGCCCTTCTCTTCACCTGTTGTCTGACCTTAGGCAAATCAGTTGGCCTCTTCATGTTTCCTGTAAAAGAGAAAGAGCCGTCCTTAGGAATGTTAAGGCCCGTGTCACTGTGTAGACTAATAAAAATGATTGGAAGGCACTTGGTGCGTAAAACGTGGGAAGGAACTCCCAAACAACCACCACTGCCTGCTGTTGAGTCACGTTGGGCAGGGGACTCCGCGCCTGCCGATGAGGCCCTTACAAAACAAGCCTGACGGTGTGTAGTCACTGCTTGGGTTAGGCATCAGGGATGGGAGGAGGGGCCATTTTTGACTAGTTGAGGAAAAATTGGGTCCTTCAGGAAGGTTCTTGGACTTCCATAAAGCTCTTGTGTGCATAATTCAGTGGTTGTAACCCTTCTAGTTTGCTGACTCACATAAAAAGCTTGAAGTTCTCATTCGCGCACACCGCTTTTTTCCTAGAGAATATTTACTGAACAGATTCAGTAGTTCTGATTCTTTTCTTCCTGAAAACGTTGTCACATGAAGCACGACACAAGCACCTGCAGGATCTTAAACTAGCATGAGAAACGGCCATCTCCATCTCTCGGCGGCGGCGGCAGTGTGGGAAAGTCCGGCAGTTTGCTTTCCTTGCTGCGGATGGACAGTGTGGAGAGCCAGGTTCACTGGGAGCTCACATGGCTTTGGCCCTCAACACGGTTTGGCAGAGGGATCTTGGCAGGTGGCCCCGGTTTACTTTCCCATCTGTGAGGAGACCTGGAGTGATGAGACCAAGCAGGTGGGACACTGAGCCTGGAGAGCACCTTGCTTGTATGTATGGCAGGCTTTGCGGTCTCATCCCATTTAAAACTCTCAGAACACCTAGGTGGTCGGGTGGATCACCATTTTACAAATGGGACGCTGAGGCAGAGAACACCTGCTATCGATGGGGAAACTGGCTGAGATTTGTACCTGGTCTGTCCCTGGGGCTCGCCGTCTTTGCTGAATGACAGGCGTCTCTGAGACTGGCTTCTTGTGCCCTGCTTGCTGGAGCTCTCAGAGCAGCCTTTAGTGGGTCCTGCTGACCACAGAAGGAAGACCTGCCATGTCGTCTCCCGTAAAGAATAAAGAAGGGCTGGGGGGGAGGAGGGGGGTCATCTCCGGGCTACTGTGTGTCCGTCCATCCCTCTGGTGCTGTTTCTATTCTCAGTGACATTGGACCCTGGTTGTCTGAGACCCATTTTAGGCACAAGGTTTTGCCAAGAAGGTTCTATTCTTGGTAAGAAACAATGGGGACCATAGTGAATTGTTTACTTTAAGAGGATGTAGTTCCCCAAACATCCGCCGAGCATCTTCCTGTCAGCTGCACGCCCTGCTGACGAAAACCATGCCACCTCTCCACAGTGTAATTACCTGTGTCTATAAAAAGCCCTGGGGATTGTGGTGGGAGGTTCAGTGGGTCATTAGAGGCCTTGCTGAGCCCTGGCGTCATGAAATGACATTGAGAAATTACCCTCTACAGATGAATTATTATGCCAGGTTTTAGTACGCTGCAAATAAATGGTACCACCTTGGCGCTGTAACTTTAAAACCCAAGAGCACAGGGCTTCTCTAAACTGCATACCTCACTTGGTCCTCACTGGGGGAAAGTCTTCATAAGACACCGGTTCCATGTGCTGAGTGCACCACCCTGCACTAACGGTCCAGCTCAGGGGTTACCCTTTTTACCTTGTGGGATGCTAGGACTCGGAGCCTTTCATCATTTTAGGTAGGTTTCCAAAAAGGCTACTCTTCATCACCTGGGACTCGATGGGAGAGTCCATTCCTTTGCACAGCTCAGGAGCAGCCCTCACATTCCAGCTGGCTTTTGTGCTGGTATGGGTGGCTGCCTGG